GGTTTAGCACAGTCAAGTCCAAGATTATTTTTGACTGATGAATAAGTATAACAAATGATTAAGAATGTAATATCAAATTTTATTATGATAGTATTATGTATTTAGTTGGAGCAATAGTGTCTAGACGATATCTTAAAACTATTAATAAATTTATTAAGTTACGTTATGAATAAAAGTATACTAACTTTGATCATATACAAATGTTATCTACTGTAAATATTGTATCAATTTTAATATATAATTTAAAATTTTAATCTCTTAATTTGGCAGAAAACGTCAACCTAAGAAAGTCCACTAAAAAAATTAAATATTCAAAACAGAGAACACTACATTTTGTCGTGATTTAATTATAATCATCATTGCATCATAAATATTTTAATCTTCAACAGCTTTAATTATAAAATCAATCATCCTTTTTACAACAATTATTTTATAATTTATTCTAATCAGTTAGGACTTAATATTAATAGAGGCATGGTGGAATTATGAAACCTCATGATTCAGGCAATAAAAAGTGGTGAGCACCATCATGGGTTTTTGCGGCCCATTTTTTTAACCTTTTTAAATCCTTGATCTCTGCACAAATTACGCTTAATTCTTTTGCTTTATGCTACTTATTTTAAATAAATCATTATGATTTTGTCCAAAGCCACCCATATAGGCCATAAGTACAAAACTTTATGATTTAATTCGTCTTATTGAGTAGTAGTAGTTAGTGTTACGCGAATTGAGATGGTCGCGGACTCGATTTGACTCATCTAAGTTTGTTAAAATCTATGTTAAGTTCAGTTTGTTTGATTGATAAATGAGATAAATTTGAGCTCGTTTAGTTAACGATGCGAATTCAACTCATTAATATTCGTTAAACTCGAGAAATACGGGTTTTACATAGTTTTGTAAATTTTTGGCTTCTCAACTTGTTAAGAAAATCGAGTTGCTCGTTGGTCCTCCTTGGCTCGATCTGCTAAAGCTTGGGTTCGGCTTAATTAGTGATTAGTCGACAAAAGTGTGTATTTTATATATTTATTAGCGTATTTTTATATGCTTAATTTTTATCGCACTTATATGTTTTTCGACTTATTTATTTATTAGATGGATTTAAGTGCTATGATATTTTTATGGTTATTTTCAGAATATTGGAATATTTTCATGAGTGTGACTCCGAACGAAAATTAAGTGGGCCAGCATGGGAGCTCCACACCAGCCCAACTTAAGCCCAAACGTGAAAGAAGATTAAAGATCAATTAATTGGAAGAGTTTGGGCTGCTTAGTGGAAATTGGGTCAAGAATTTGGTTTATTAAAAAATCCTGTAGAGAGACACGCAAGCATTGGAGCCATAGGAATTATTTGCGAGATCATGTAGAAAGCCAGGCCATTCACGCAGCAGATATTTATTAAAGGAGGAATTAATTTACACAACCCTGGCAGACATTATTCTACGGCAGTTCAAAACAAAAGCCGCCACGGAAAGGGGAAAAAGCAGATAAGAAAGCCGCACGAATAGAGCTTGAAGACGAGGAACCCGATTAAAAGCGGAGGGAGGCCGCACCCACACACGAGAAGGATAATTTTATTCTTCTCTTTTGTTTTTTATTTATTATGATAGCTTAGATTTTCTTTCTAGTTCCGGTGATGTTGAACCTTACGACTTGATGATGTTTGATTAATTTGCGTGGTTGATAATTTTAATATCTTTTTGGAATTGTTTGTGTTATTTTGAATAATTCACCATGATGTGTTAGTCTTGTTTAGATTGATCACCTAGATTAGGCTTTTCATATCTACATCTGAATTAGGCCTTCATATCTACATCTGAATTAGGCCTGCAATCCGTAATTGTTGTTGTGTTTAATTCATAAGAGGTAGCCGGAAGATGGTAACTACCGGGGATAACACGACCTAATTAAGTGAGCGAACGCGGTTGAGTTCACTACTTAGTCTAGCCTATTTTTCTAATTCGTAAAGCGGCTAATTGTATTAAATCTTGAAAAGGACTGTACAAAAAGTCAGGTTTAATCGTAGAGCGTCTCGCGGTTAAATTAAAATTAAGGAAAAATTCGGGTAACTGACCGTGTCGTTGCCTAGGGCTAGTAATTTCATAAGATAGCGAGATTTGATACCAGAATTGATTAGACGAGTCAGTCGAGGGTGTAGACGGAACCGTGAACTAGAAACTTCTCTTTATTTATTCTATTTTATTTTTATTTCCTTTGTTTATTAGGATTTTTAATAAGTTTAGTTTTTAAATCAAAATCCCCCCATTTATCGCTTTTTATAATTTCAATTAATATGAAAAAAAATTCACAATTTGATTCACACTCCTCGTAGGATCGACCCTTGCTCGCCACTACTACTAGTTAGTCGAGGTTAGTCGAGGAAAATATAAATATTAATTTTGCCGCGTTGCGACGCGCGGTCAATTAGTTCGATAAATGTATCGGGCAACAAACTCGTTTAATTAACGAATCGAGCTAGACTCAATCCGTTAAGAGTCATTACACTCGAGAAATAACATAATTCTTTGAAGAAAAATGCTACATTACCAACCTAGTGTATAACTAGGTTGACAACACAGGTGAAAACATCCACTTGTGTATTTTTTTATTTTTATTTTTTGAATGTTTTCACTTGTGTTATCAACCTAGTTGTATACCAGGTTGACAATTTAGCATTACTCTTTTGAAATATTGCTTCAGCTGAATTCATTGGTCTTGATACACGAGTCTAGTTTGAGCTCGTTTATTGGCCTAATTAGCTAATAATTTCAAGCTCAAGTATTATGAGCTATCTCGAACGCGACTCTAACTTATTTACAGCTATAATGGTAGCTTCATTTTCTCAAAACTATGTTTCCAAAGGTAATAATTGAAAATTCATCAAGGGCTAAATTTCATTTTTAGTACACTATGTTGGTCATTTTCTGAAAAAGGTCCATCATGTAGGGTGTCATCAAGTACGGTCCACTAAGTTGTCACTTTTCATCAAAACTCGTACAATAGTCAACACAGTGTACTAAAAATGACAATCACTTTTAGTACACTATGTTGGTTTTTGTACGAATTTTGATTAAAGTGACAATTTAGTGGACCATTTTTTATGACGCCATATATGATGGACGTTTTTTAGAAAATGGCCAACAACATAGTGAACCAATTTTAAAAATTTTCAATTCATCAAGTAATGAAACTGTAAGTATGCTGCTTCTATATAGTTGTACGTAAAGTTGTTTTTAGATGTTTTTCTCATACTAAAAAGTGCCATATATGAAGTATAATAACCTTGAAGACCCTTCAATAATATTCGTTCTCTCAAGAAATAAATGACTCCAAAAAGTTAGATTAATAGTAAATCATGATAACATCGCAATCTAAAGGGTAAAATGTGCTCTTTAACAATGGAAAATTATGAATGTCCAAGAACGACAACACACACCCGACAAGATGCTTTAATTACAAATATGTTTGGGACAACCTGAAATTAGTCCCACAAATTGACCACAAATGTTTGTCAATAATCCATAAATCGGCCCTTGTGTGCACCTTTCATCTTAACGACAATAATGAAATCTTAACCCAATGGATTATGGTGTGGTTTTCTTAGTAATTAGTGTCGAGTCTTGATCTTAATTTTCACTTAAACCGAGTTAGTCGAACATGTTCATTGGTAAATGCCCACATGGAGTATTTAACCGTTCGATCAACACATCTCCATAAAAATGGGTATAAGTGGATTGATAAAAAATACAGTAAGAACAAACTTGACCTAATTAGGTACGAGCTTGACTTAATTAATTATCTAGTGCCTATCGTTCCGAAAAAAAAAAAAAAAGACTAATTATCTAGTGCAATCTTTGTTTGCATGGGTGATTTTAAGTTATCAGTTTGAATCCAAGGTTTATGTAAAATAAAATCTAGTACGAATGCAATGATTCTCTATCTCATGAAAATGAATCATAGTAAAATCTGGAAGAGCAATATAAACACACGTACATTAATGATAAATAAAATAATGTTAACCTCTTTATTTTTTTCATTGAGGAAAATCACGAATGTTGAGGTGGGAAATATAACTTTTCATCATATACAATCATATCAAATAGCATAAACCTACCACAAGAGAGTAAGTTCAAGTAATTATTGTCCAAATATATAATATGACAATGTATAACTAGATATCAAACTTGAAGTATCACAATGCAATTTGCTAATCATGTCTTTTATTCCTTATTTTGTTCTCTGAAATATGTAAAAATGACGGAATTGAAATGAATATAAGTTATGATGTGAAAATTGTGTATGATTTCTACTTTTAATGTAATGGAGTATTATCATTTACACATATGTTGTTGTATAGATCCTTTTTTAATATAAATCTTAATTGAAATTAACATCAAATACGATTTGAAAATATCATTACAAAAAGATAAAAATAATGGTACAAATATGTTCTTAAATTAAGAGTTGATTTTTATTTGACTCAAATTCCTATATTATATATATTTTCTCTTTTCTTTTATAATTTCTTGCAATTTTGCAAATAACAATCTTCAGAAAATGATTTTTTTGATGAAAAAAAAAAAAGAATTATTGTGAACTGAATGAAAATCACATCATAGCCACAACATGGAAGGAATCATATGTTATCTATTGTTTCTAATATTATTGAGTTCCATAGATATTTTGTCCCAGAAATAGCTAAAATAACTATTTTAATTAAAACACTATTTTATATAAACGAATTATCAATATTAGTGCATAGCCCATACTATCCACAAAATAATTTAATAAATGTATGAATTAAATAGATATATAGCTATAGACCTAACACTAAAGTACCATTTTATGTTAACTATTTATATTCATGATTTAAAATATGTTAATATATTATTAAATATATATTTTTTGATAAGATTTTTAAAGATTTTTAAAATTCTCACCCCTGAAAACAGAGATATTCATATAAAGGCAGGCCAGGCAGTAGTGTGTGGCAGAGTGGGACACTGACCTGAGTCTCAGACTCGTTTCATTAACTCAACACTGTTCTTTTCTCGTGAAGCTTTTTTCTCTACACTTGTAACATCACACTCTCCTCTCTGTCCCTCTCTCTCTCTCACAGTAAAACACACTGGCTGCAAAGGAAAAAATAAAATAAAATAACACCTGGCTCGTGAAAACAGTTGCTCAAACACTGTACGATTCTTCTTATCATCTGCACTTTTCTTGCTGAGTGAAAGCTCCTTTTTTTCCTTGAGCCCTCTTTGTCAAAATTTTTGTATTTTGATTTTTGAGTCTTTTTTTTAAGTGTTTGTTTGTTTGTATGTGTTTGTGTCTCTAGGTTCAATGAAGAATCCGTCCCCTCGTAAGATTTTTGCTTATTTCGTGCATTTGGGTTTTTGATCGAGCATTCTTGAAATTAGGATTTTTCTAGGTACCTGAGTTTCGAGACAGCTTATTGAAAAAAAAAGCGGAAAAGGCTATGTAGATTTTCTAGGTCAAGGTTGTCTTGATTTCTTTAATTTTTTTATCTGTTCGACTTTTACAAAATATCAGCAACAGTGTCTGAGCTGTGTATAGTGTGTATACAATCCTATTCTGGGCAAAGATTCACGAAAAGTTTGACATTTTCCAGTTTCATCATTTTCCCCATTTGGGCTGTTATAAATATATAGAAAAAATGCCACCTTTGAGTTTATTAAGCATTTTCCTATTTGGGATACTTTCAAGTTCTCAGCTTGCCACTGCCCAGCTTCTGAGTGATCAGTCTACATTACTCGCAATTGGTAAAGAGCTAAATTTACCAAAATGGGACAAAGATGTCTCAGATTATTGCACTTGGCCTGGCATTTTTTGCAGCCCAAACTCCCCATATGTCGAGAGACTCGATCTTTCGAACCATGGGCTTAAAGGTAATATCACCCTCATCTCTGAGCTCAAGTCACTCAAATGGCTTGACCTCTCACACAACAACTTCCATGGAAATATCCCACCAGCTTTTGGAAATTTGTCTGAGCTTCAGTTTCTTGATTTGTCCTTTAATAACTTTGGGGGTTCAATACCTCTTGATTTGGGTAAGCTCACAAACCTCAGGGCATTAAATCTTTCGAATAACATGCTCACGGGTAAAATCCCTGAGGAGCTCGAGGGTTTAAGTGATTTGCAGTATTTGCAGGTGTTCACTAATAGATTGAATGGTTCGATTCCCACTTGGGTGGGTAATTTGACCAATCTGAGAGTTTTTACCGCTTACGAGAATGAGCTGAGTGGCGTTATTCCAGAAAATTTAGGGTCTTTCTCCGAGCTTGAGTTGTTGAACCTTCATTCAAATTATCTGGAGGGTTCAATCCCAGAGTCCATTTTCTCAATGGGGAAATTGGAAAATTTGATCTTGACTCAGAACAGGTTTAGTGGCTTTATTCCCGATTCAATTGGGAAATGCAAAGGGCTGTCAAGTGTTAGAATTGGAGATAATAATCTGATTGGTGAGATCCCCAGAGAAATTGGTGATGTCAGCGGCCTTACCTATTTCGAAGCGGATAACAATAATCTTTCCGGGGAGATTCAAAGTGAATTTTCGAAATGTACTAATCTCACCCTCTTGAATTTAGCCTCAAATGGGTTTTCTGGGACTATACCTCCAGAACTTGGAATGGTGGCTAGCTTGCAGGAACTGATTATTTCTGCAAACAACTTGTTTGGTGAAATTCCTCAGTCAATCCTCAGGGCCAAGAATCTGAACAAGCTCGACTTGAGCAATAACAGATTCAACGGCACTATACCGGAAAATATCTGCAATTCATCGAGGTTGCAGTTCTTGCTCCTGGGGCAGAATTCGTTGAGAGGTGAAATTCCAAACGGGATTGGAAATTGCGGGAAATTGCTCGAACTGCATTTGGGGGGTAATTACTTAACTGGAAATATTCCTCCCGAGATTGGCCGTATCAAGAACCTGCAGATTGCTTTGAATTTGAGCTCAAATCATTTATATGGCCAGCTACCAGCCGAGCTAGGAAGGCTCGACAAGCTGGTTTCGTTAGATGTTTCGAATAATCAGCTCAGCGGGAGTATACCATCTGCACTCAAAGGGATGCTGAGCTTGATCGAGGTTAATTTCTCTAACAATCGACTTATGGGACCAATACCTTCTTTTGTACCCTTTCAAAAAAGCCTAAATTTGAGCTTTATTGGAAACAGAGGTCTATGTGGTGAGCCGTTGAATGATTTGTGCAGAAATTTAAGTGATTCTACTCGTAATAATGTTGATCGCCACAAAGTTCCTTTCAGAGTTGTGTTAGCTGTTATTGGTTCGGGTTTTATAGTTTTTACCTCGGTGGCCATCATCGTATTTTTATTCATGATGAGAGAGAAATTAGAGAAAGGTATTAAGGATGAAAAAAACGACGAATTTCAAATCGGTGAAAATAACAAGCCTGTGATTGTTGCTGGAAATGTTTTTATCGAGAACCTAAGGCAAGCGATCGACTTTGAAGCTGTTGCCCGAGCCGTTGCAAAAGATTCGAATAAACTGAGCATTGGGACTTTCAGCACTCTCTACCGGGCAGATATGCCTTCCGGGATAATCTTGGCCGTCCGAAAGTTGAAATCGATGGACAAAAGCATAGTTCATCACAAAAGCAGGATGATTAGAGAGGTCGAGAAGATGAGCAAACTATGCCACCCGAATTTGACGAGGTCCGTCGGGTTCGTTTCTTTTGAGGATGCTCTGCTTTTGCTTTACCCGCATTTCGAAAACGGGACTTTGGCACGATTTCTCCGCGAGTCAAAGGAAAGCCCGGATTATAATAAGCCTGAATGGCCCACGAGGCTCTCGATTGCGATTGGTGTGGCCGAGGGATTGGCTTTTCTCCATCACTTGGCAATTATCCATTTAGACATATCTTCGGGAAACGTTTTTCTTGATTCTAATTTGAATCCGCTCGTTGGAGAAATCGAAATATCGAAGCTTATTGACCCGTCGAGAGGGACTGCGAGCATTAGTGCTATTGCTGGCTCGTTCGGATATATTGCACCGGGTAATGTCTTCCTAGAAAAATAATAAAAATTGCAACTCTTTTTCTATTTTAACCAGAAAAAATATAGGCGATGCTAATTTACTCGTTTTGATCTCTCATGCAGAGTATGCGTACACCATGCAAGTGACTGCACCGGGTAATGTCTATAGCTATGGTGTTGTTTTGCTTGAGATTCTTACGTCTAAACTCCCGGTTGACGAGACGCTTGGCGAAGGGGTGGATCTTGTGAGGTGGGTCCACCATGCACCAGCCAGAGGAGAAACACCCGAGCAGATTCTTGACGAGAGGTTGAGCACGGTTTCATTTGCGTGGAGAAAAGAAATGCTTGCAGCTCTCAAGGTGGCATTGTTGTGCACGGATAGCACGCCGGCTAGGCGGCCCCGCATGAAAAACGTGGTTGAGATGTTACGGGAGATCGGGCAGAATTAGGGCGCGGTTCGTGGGTTGTGATTGCATTTTTTTTTTTTTTTNGAAAAATAGTTTCTTGAGATGTTTGGGTTGGTTTGTAGCAAAATTTCTCATCTTTGTGCATCTTGAGAGTTGCTGTGCATGAAAAAGTTGTGATCTTTATGGATGAATCAAGTTTAAATGTTAGTAGTGTTCGCAAGGTATGTTTTAAAACTTTTGGCCAAAAGCACCCCTAATCACTCGGAACAAATACTATTTTGAAACCTTGATAAACAAAACGAGCCGTTCTTAAGTTCAACTTAACTCGTTTGATAAACGAGCGGAGCATGAGCTCTGTTCAATTTGATGAAGCTCAAAAAGATGATTTTTTTATATATTTCTCGTAGTTTGTGTAGTTAAAGCTCGACTCGTTAATATTGATAAACAAGGCGAGTTCGAACTCGATTATTAACTCGTTTAATAAATGTCAAATTCTTCCACTTTTTTCCCGCGTGATTGAAATAATTCAAAAAAACATACAAAAAACAGAAGTTTACGCAACTATGGAAGGGTAGTATCAAATCAAAATCAATACTTTAATGCTTTAATATATGCGTTCGTCATTCTCTCTCCAAATCTTCCCCAATCATTTTCTACTCCAAATCCCAACGCAAACCTCACACACTTGTAGCATCGACCTCATTCTCATCTCCCTCCCATGGCCGCCAACAGGACCAAACCCCGCGGCCCGAACATCCCTTCAAAGCCCGAACTCGAAAAAACAATCGAGGAGACCTATCAGAAGCGCACGCAGCACCACCACATCCTCCTCCGGCCCGACACCTACATCGGGTCCGTCGTCAAGAGCAAGCAGAGCCTCTGGGTTCTCGAGGGGGGAAAAATGGTAAATCGGGACATTGCATACGTGCCCGGCCTCTACAAAATCTTCGACGAGATCTTGGTCAATGCCGCCGACAACCGCCAGCGGGACCCGTCCATGGACCGGCTGGAGGTAGAAATTGACGCCGGAGCAAATTTCATCAGCGTGTTCAACAACGGCGAGGGGATTCCGGTGGCCGTCCACGGGTCGGAGAAAGTTTATGTGGCCGAGATGATTTTCGGGCAGCTATTGACGAGCAGCAATTACGATGACAGCTGTAAGAAGACGACCGGAGGGAGGAATGGGTTCGGGGCCAAGCTGACGAATATTTTCTCCACCGAATTTGTCGTCGAGACGGCTGATGCGAAGAGGAGGAAGATGTATAAGCAGGNTTAATTTAATTACTTCTCAATCTCACACACACCACACACACACTTTGTTTGTTTCTTTAGCAGTTTGTGTTTTGGGAGACAATAATGATAATTTTTTTTTTTTTCTCCTTTTTTTCTTTTAGTTGAATTGGCAATTGGTTCTTGTTGATTGTGGATCTCAACTTATATGCTCTGTTAACCAATCTTCACCCGGAGGTGTTTGTTGAGTGTGTTTTAATTTTTAACACGAAATGTTGTTATCTGAGGATAAATGTGTTTTTTGCAGGTGTTTTCAGATAACATGAACAAGGTTTCCCCACCAGTGATTACAAATTACAATGGGGAGAGTTGGACGAGAATCTCATTCAAGCCCGACTTGGCCAAATTTCAGATGGACCATCTCGAAGCTGATGTGGTGGCATTGATGAAAAGGCGAGTAGTTGATGTGGCTGGATGTATAGGGGAGACTGTAAATGTGGTGTTGAACGGAGAACAAGTTCCTGTGTGCTCGTTTGCCGATTATGTCGATTTATACCTTGAGGCCCGGTTTGGTGACAAGAAAGATTCCATCCCGAGGTTCGGTTTTCACTTTCCTGTCGACAGTTAATTCACGTCATGCAGAATATTAGTGTTTTTACGCTTGGAGCTTTTATATTTTGTAGGTTTGTGGAAAGATTTAACGATAGGTGGGAAATATGTGTGTGCGTACGAGACAGCCATTTTGAGCAGGTATATATACTCAACACGTATTGCATAACCATTGTCTTTTAGTGTTTGAATTTTACTGGTGAAGACTGCAGATGGAAAAATTACGATCCAGATTTGGTCGTTTGCATGTGCATGACAAATGGCTCATTACCATCCAACATTTGCGTAATTTCTAATTCTTCATTCTCAGTTTGGATGAGAGACTGACGAATCAAGAAGAGTTCGGATTTTCAAAATACCAAAAAAAAAAAAAAGAAGAAAGTTTATAGCTATCCTTATCTTTTAATATGCAAAAATTATGTTTCAGCCTTCTGAAACTTTTAAGGACTCCTTGTTCCTAACAGGTCAGCTTTGTGAATGCAATTGCTACTATGAAGGGAGGGACTCATGTGGATTACGTGATCGATCAGCTCATAGATTATGTATACGAAAAAATTGACCAGACAAGTCCAAACATCTTCTTGCGGCCGCATCTCATTAAGAGTAACCTTTGGGTGTTTGTAAATGCCCTGATTGACAACCCGTCTTTTAACTCTCAAACAAAACTCACTCTAACGACTAAGTTTGAAGATTTCGGGTCAACGTGTCTACTGCATGACGAGTATTTGGAAGAAGGCTAGTATTTAATTAATATTTCTTGTTGACTTGTAATTACATTATTTATTATTTATTTATTTCGTTGCTTTTTATTTTTTTGGTTTGTATAGTTTGTAAAGCTGGAGTGGTGGAGAATATTATGTCGTGGGTTAAATATAAGCAGAAGAGAGAAGAAAAGAGGGCCGAGAAGGAGAAAAGGCAAAGGATAACTGGAATTAGCAAGCTTGAGGATGCTAATGAAGCTGGCAGCGAACGTGCGAAAGAGTGCACTTTGATCTTGACTGAAGGAGATTCTGCAAAAGCTCTTGCTGTGAGTTTGTGATTGCCTGCAAGAAAAAGAGAAAAGGGAAATATTTACTTCTATTGCTTCTAACATTTGAAAAAATGCAGATGGCTGGGATATCTGCCGTTGGCAGAGACTGTTATGGGGTCTTTCCCCTGAAAGGTAAACCGCTTAACGTACGAGAGGCTAATCACTTCCAGATAAATGCTAATGAAGAAATCCAGAATATCATGAAGATCCTTCACTTGGAGTACAACAAGCAGTATAACTCAGTTGAGGATTTGAGATATGGACATGTGATGATTATGACTGATCAGGTTTTTTATAAACACGAACCGAACCTCGGTTTGAACTTAATTTTTAAAATTCAGTAAATTGCCTTAACTCAGTCTGAAGATCTTTCTTATCTTCTCCATGTTCAAGGATCATGATGGGTCTCACATTAAGGGATTACTGATTAATCTTTTTCATTCACTGTGGCCATCACTGTTAAAGATTCCATCTTTTCTTCTTGGGTTCATAACACCTATTATAAAGGTAAAATTTGTCTTATGGCACAGGCAACAAGAGGTGGACAAATTTTGTCTTTCTACTCCATTCCCGAATACGAGTCCTGGAAGCAAGGGTTAGGGGGGAACACTAGTGGCTGGTCTATCAAGTACTATAAGGTTGTTACTTTTAATTTAAAGAAAATTGCAATAAAGTTTACCCACAAGTTTTAGCTTCATTCACAGATTCAGGTAGGCTTGTGTTACATAGTTAGTAACCTTCTCCAAGATGCAACTTGTTGAAAAGAAACAAATGACGATGGGACACTCGTCTTATGAAATATTATTGAGCTTTATTGTAATTAGACTAGAAGTCGGAGAAATTTTTGTAGTTAACCGTTTCTTGATTTACTTAATGATTATGTGTATGTTTGGATGCACTTTTGTAATGGACTTTTGACTATAAAAGTCCATTTACTATATCAAAAGATGTTTGGTGCAAATAACAAAATGGACTTTTAAGAAAGTAACTCCCATAAAAGGTCCATTTCAAAGAAGTTTACATTAAAAACTTCTTGAGAAGTCACTTTTCAAAAATTCCATCTTAAAATGGACTTTTCAATAAGTGTTTCCAAACAAGCCAGGGACTCGGAACTAGCACTTCTAAGGAGGGGAAAGAATATTTTCAAGCTCTTGAAAAGCACAAAAAAGATTTTCTATGGTTGGATGAGAAGGACAATGATGCAATTGAGCTAGCATTCAGTAAGGACAAGATACAAGCAAGGAAAAAATGGCTCCAAAAATACGAGGTTCCAATTTGAACTCCTTCTGCAATTTCAACCTTTTTGGCCCACACTTTTCCACTTCAACAGTTTCATTAAAAATCACAGCTGAGCTCTAGCCTTTAGAAAAATAAATAACTAAAATAAAAATAAATTACAAAATCAGTTTTTGTTTCGAAATCGTATGCTGGCTGGTTGTTTTATGATTTGCCTGCACCTCATTTTCATTTTTTGTACATTGTAGCCTAGCACATTTCTTGATCAGAAAGAAAAGCATGTAAAGTACAGTGACTTTGTCAACAAGGAGCTCATTCAATTCTCAGCTGCCGATCTCAAGAGATCGATCCCTTGTATGGTTGACGGCTTAAAACCGGGCCAAAGGAAGATTCTCTTTAGCTGTTTCAAGAGAAACTTTATCCAGGAGGCTAAGGTTGCTCAGTTTTCCGGTTACGTGTCCGAACATACAGTCTATCATCATGGAGAAGCAAGCCTGGCCAACACCATTGTGGGGATGGCACAAGATTATGTGGGAAGCAACAATATTAACTTACTTCAGCCCAATGGTCAATTTGGGACTCGCCATCAGGTGAAAATTAATAGATGGCTCAATTATTACGTTTGTTACAGAATATTATGTACCCTCGATACTTTGTAAACTTCACGGAAAAAAATTCCAGCTATATTTCAGAAGTTCAGAAAATTCAAATTTCAGGAGTTATGATTATTTTTTTAATAGGGAGGAAAAGATCATGCCAGTGCAAGATATATCTTCACGTGTTTGTCCCCCATCACGCGTTTTCTTTTCCATATAAACGATGATGCTCTCCTTCACTACCTTAGTGAAGACGGACAGTCTGTGGAGCCAGCTTGGTGAGTATTTCTTATTTTACAAATTGTGCTCTATTGTTAGCATTCTTGAACGACTATTTTTTTNTTTTTCGTGTGTGTGTGTGTGTGAGTGAATTAGGTACATGCCCATAATTCCTATGGTCCTAGTCAACGGGAGTGAAGGAATCGGAACAGGATGGAGTACGTATGTCCCGAACTATAATCCAAGGGACATCATTGCAAATGTGAGGCGCTTTCTAAATGACGAGCCTATGGAACCCATGGTGCCGTGGTATAAAGGATTCAAGGGCACGATCGAGAGAACAAAAGCAAAGGGAACTGGAGAAAGTTATGCCGTAAAAGGAATTATCCAAGAAGTGAATAAAACAACGGTCAGGATCACAGAGCTTCCCGTTCGTAAGTCCACCGAGGACTACAAGCAGTTTCTAGACACGCTCTTATCGAAAGGCGGTAGGAACAAAGAGCAATTCATCAAGGTATTTATTTATTTATTTATTTTTCCCCTTGAAAGCTGCCATGTTTAAAATATGTGTACTAGTGAGCTGTGTTTTGTTGCTCCCAGGACTTCAGGGAATTCAACGATGATAAAACCGTGCATTTTGAGATATATATGACCGAAAAGAACCTGGCAATTGCGAAAGATGAAGGCTTGATAGAAAAGTTTAAGCTCAGCAGTACCATCAGCACCAGCAACATGCATCTGTTTAACTCGAATGGAACACTTGTGAAATATTCTTCTCCTGAGAAAAGTAAAATAATTAATATAGCAATTCCATCTTTTCCCTTTTCCTTTTTTTTTTTTTTTCNTTGTGGACTTTATCCTGTATGAAATCTTACATCTTGCTATTTTTTACTTTGTGTTGTAGTTATTGATGAATTCTGCGGCTTGAGACGTGAATTTTATGAGAAGAGGAAAGTGAGTATTCTATTTGTCTGCTTTGGACTAGTGGTTAATAAAATCTTATTCATATATTATTTTGTGTAGGGATTCATGCTGAGCATGCTAGAAAGAGAGCTTCTGAAGCTGGAAAACAAGGTCCGGTTCGTAAATGAAGTTGTTGAGGGAAAAATCATTATAATGAACCGAAGGCGAAAAGATTTGCTGGCTGAGTTGAAGCAGAAAAATTTTGCCCCATTCCCTAGTAATAATAATACAAGAGGGTCTTCTAATCCAACAGAGAACGAGTACGGATATCTATTGTCAATGCCAATTGGCACATTAACGAGCGAGAATGTTCTAGAACTGTGTGCTCAGGCGAAAAGGTTCAAAGATGAGGTTGACGGACTAAGGCATGCGACTCCAAAGTCTTTGTGGTTGAAGGATTTGGATGCACTCGAACAGAAACTCAATGTAGTCTTCTGAAGCTTTTACAATTTTGTCATCCTTTTTTCGTTTCGAAATGGAAATTACTGATCAAATCTTTGTCGTTTGCTAGCTGCAATCGAATATTTATGATCGTCCAGAGAACACGAGATCTGAGGTTAGTGCTGAGATTTCCAAAAGGCCTAAGAGGACTATGAAGAAGAAAAAGAAAGAAAGTTCAGAACAGCATGCCAATGATAAAGATGCCTTAGCTGAAATTCATATTATCCCTTCAAACGATACAGGTACGTTGCTCGCTACTATTCATTAAGATTATTATTATTACCCTTCAAATGCACAAATAAAACCATGCAGTGTGATTTCGAGATTTCTCGATTCGAATTTGCAGGAAAAACTCCGCAAGCAGTGGAACCACAATGCATGCAACGAAAAGATGATGTAGCACCTATGACAGATGTATTTTTCTCCAATTTTTTTTATCTTTTTTTTTTCGGTTGGGGTGTGTTTCCCGAGTTTCTTCTAAATAATCTTTCCACCTTTCGCATCTTTAATTTAAGCAGCCCCCACTGGTACATGAGGATGAGGGCAAAGGGCTTGAGCAAAATGAAGACCAAGCCAAACAGAATCTATCTCCAGATAAATCTACAGGTCTCGGTTTTTTCGTTTTAAAAAGTGTCTAACTAAAGTAAAGTTTCAGTTTTTGTTATCCCTCGTTTGGCATTTCTAGGAAAAGCTCCCGAGGCCATGGATTCGCGGGGCATACAAGAAGAAAAGGATGAAGCGCCTAAGCCAAATGTATCTTATTTTCTCCACTCTGTATCTTTCGTGCTTCTTAAATCTTAAGGCTATTTTAATCAAAACTTTCGCCTTTCTCATTCTCATACATAACAGCCGCCACCACTTGATGTAGACGAGACCAGAGGACTCGAGCAGAGAGGGAGAATAGCTGATCCAACTTCATTGCCAGATAAATCAAGAGGTTCTTTTAAGAGTTCTTGCTAAAATCTCTATGTTTTTCCCCAGTTTGTCAGACGTACGCAAATTAGAATAATAAACATATTCTTATGTTCCAACAGATATGAAGCTACCAGAAGGCAGTGAAAGCAAGAAGGACGATTCAAGTATTATAGAAATTTCTGACACTGACGAAGAGAAGGCTGACACTAGAATAGTAGCGCTCGACTTTAAAAAGGCTCGAAAACCATCAGCTCGTAAAACCTCCAAAGATGAACAAAATAAGCAGCATGCAATGATTACAAGGAAGAGAAGTAAAACGAACAGGGAAAATGGAGGCACGCCATTGGCTAACGACACAAGCAGAGTTGTCTTGAAAGCGATCGAAAACAATGCTGTGCTTTCGCCAGAGAAGAAACTGAGAAAAAGGAACGATCGAACTTTTAGGAAAAAGAAAAGCAGTCATTTTGATGCAAAAGATGGAGAGAACAAGGAAAATTGTCCGAGCCAAGGCAATAGAAACTAGGGAAGAACAGTTTTAATGAATAGACTTGTTTTTTTTATTTATTCTATTTTTATATTATTTTTATATGTGATTACATTATGGTTTTAATGAAGGTTTTATTATTGTACTAATGTGACCCAGATTCTCATTTTTTATTTTTTTATTTTTATTTCATCACTAAAAATAGATAATACGCCTATTTGAAAACAGAGGAGTAGATGAATATGCATAAAATGAAGTCACCATTTATAACTTATATCACTAGTTTAGTTTCAAGTTTCATTTGAGATGCATCTGCACACAGAGACTGGTTTTCCAAGTCTCAGCTAATTCTACAAAAAAAAATCCTCACGCCTCGGGCTAAAATTTCCACAAATAAAGAATTTAAATTTTAAAGAATAAGGAGAATCAGGCAATCGGGTCACAAAAACAGTAGCTATCTTTGGGCCAATAAGCGAGCAATGCAGCTTACGCCACAGGCAGTTGATCGTCTACTAAAGGGTGTCATCCGGTGAGTGATATTACGCCATAAGCTCGGACAGCCAATCAAGTCGGTCCTAGTCAGCACCCGGCAGCTTTCAAGAAGTTGTCATACGGGCTTGATGCTGGCAGCCTCAATGAGTCGGGATGATTTTGGACCTCAGCCGAACATATTCCAGGTGGGCTTACTGTCTTCATTGGAAGCCCACTAACATTTTGATCCAAGAATGTATTTTCTCCCTGTCAATTTTCACCAAAACCCCAAAATTAGTGAAAAATGTAGATAACCAAGAAAATTATACGGCAAAAAGTTACTACATTTAACCTTCTTTTTCGAAGTTTGGATTACTAATAGATTCACTACTGTACCTTAAGTGAGCTATTGTCCAGTGATGCCACTGTCTTAGTTTGTTCGCGTGAGTTTTGTGAAGGCAAGGTCAACAGGTTGACTTTTTGCCTTTTCTGAGTCGTTATCAGGTTTGACATTTTCTGTTGTTTTCCCACCAAAAGCGCCTCACAATGGTGTGCTGTCTCCTTGTAAGACGCATCGTGTGCTGTGCTCACCGATATTCGGCCTACGTGATGTGCTGTGTCCAAAACCTGCGTGTAAAATAATATAAAAAAATAATGCAAGAAAGGGTTTTTGATAAAATGTTGATACGAAAGCATAAATTCGAAAGGAAACTGCTTACGGATTGTAGAAGTTGATCGACGCTCAAGAGATTGAAATTTTCAATGCTCGACTGTGAATTGTGTTTGCTACTTCCAAGTGAATCCGGAAGAGAGTCATCGTCTATTACAAACAATGAGGCGGCCTGTACAACATTCATTATACAAATATCAAATATCCATTCGAGATTTTTATATACTTAAAACAAATACTCCTCCTTCCGCACTACTTTCTAAAATATGAACAATTATCAAATGGTTTCTTATACTTTTTCGAGAAGAATGGTGAATGTTTACCTGATCGAGGGACTTATCATTATGAGACTCTGTGTTACGTTCTTCATCATTGCTTTCTTTGAAAAATGGGGCTTTAAAAGAGCACAAATCGTCAGGCCAAAATTCCTTGATCAACTGCTCCCTTGTGCTGGACTCTTCAGACTGTACCGTATAGCAGTGAGAAATGGTTACCATTAAAGTAAAAATATATATATATTTTTTTTCCAAACAATGGAGTATAGAACTTACTTCTGGCAAATTATCCAAATTCTTGATAATAACCGAAACTAGCGATTCTCTACTCTGATCCTCGTTAAGTTTAATGTCCGAGAGACATCTCGTTGCTGAGCTGTCATCTTCTTCCGACCCATAACTAATTTGTTTTCCTGATTCTTTTTCGTTAAGCTGCAACTTTGAGTCATCAACCAGACACAAAAATGGATCAACCTGACACATGCAAGAGAAGAAAATGAACCATTTGGTACTCTGCAAATCCATATATAATTAACTACACACTTTGTTAATTACAAATATATACAGCTAGTCCAATCAATTTATTTATTAGGAAAAAAAGGACTGAAAAAGTAACGAAAGATATGTAAAACCCACCACTTCACTAGAGAGTGTAGCTTTCACAAGCCGGACAAGAGGAAGGATATTGTAAGCCTTTGATGAAAAGATTATCATACAAGTCGACATTACAAAGAGGGACCTACGACGAGAAGGTGGCAATGTCCCTGCAAATTTAACTTAACAAATGTTTACAAACAAATTTGTATATATATCTGACAATTGCTTTTGTAGCCGAACAAATTTTACCTCCAGAAGCAAGAGAAACAGTCCTTAATGAAAACGCCAGCTGGAAACACCGAATGAGAGCGTCACGGTAGGAGTTCTGCACCAAAAGTAATGAAAAGANTCAAAGAATGCCTGGTTTCTATATTTGTTCGTAAATGAAATAGAAGGTTTCTACATTTTCATTTATGCAACCAATAACTTATCACAGATTACCTTGGCTCGAGAAAACAGCAAAACCAAGCTGTACGTGTGAGCAATGGCTACATAATTTTCAGGTTTGTTTAATGGAGAAATGGATTGTGCCCAAAGAGAAGAAAGCAGGAGGGATATTTGGTGGCTGCTCAATCTAAGAGGAACAGGATCCTGAAAATCGAAACAAAAAAAACATATATAATCATACAAATAATTATCCGATGCTCGACAAGTTTAAAGGAACTTTTTTTATCCTAAAACAAGATCCAGTTTTTCTCAAAAGTTACGAGTACCCCCTTTGAGTTTCAAAATCATTATACAAAATTTTTGGAAGTAAAAAAATATACGTCAAAGTGTACTTGTAAATATTGAAAATAACTCGATTTCTATTCACAGCATTCACGATCAAAGAAAATTACTTCTCGATTTGCCTTGACGTTCAACTCGCCATCCAGAGCCGGTGTACTTCTGACACTATATACTCGGCTGTAAGTCGACTTAACTTTGTCCAAAACCCCATTCATGCTGTTTTTCTGCTCAACATCACCCGAGACCTTTTCTTCTTCGTTCAATTCAAGATTTTCCTTCGAATTGTTCCTTTGGTTTTTTTTCAGCTTCTCGAAAAGTGCAGCCGACGAGGAAAAAACCGAGACTGTTCTCGAGAGCGTTCGTGGAAAGTCCATCTTTTTTTCCGGGTCAGATATAACCGGACCCGTCTGAGGTGAGACAGATGTCGGGACAAGGACAACAGAGAAGATCTGGTGGGCCCCGATTCGTGTGTCGTGGTCCGGGTGGACCATGGCAGGTAGTAGCTGATGGAACAAAGCTTCTGGGAAAGCCTAGTGATAAATTAGGTAGCATATAATTAGTAGCTGCTGTAAAAAACTGTTTTTTTTTTTTCCTCTAAAAACAAAGGTTCTACTTTTTTACCTTCTTTCGGTAGGATAAATTCGGCAACGAGGCTATGATCTGAGCCGTTCGGTAGACTGCAGAAATAGTTGTTCGAGCTGTAACAGTAACGCTAGAAATATTCTCTAACATAGTTGCCATTACATCAAGAATCAGACCTGCATCTCCAACCTGTCAATAAGTAAATAAATAAATAAAAGTTTTACAACTTATAAATTCATCATCATCTGCTAAAAGGATTAATAATCTGAATAGGTGACCTTCGATGACAGCTCAATAAGGCACTCGTCCACTGCATCCCGAAACTTTCTATTCCATTTAATCAAATCTTCGCCGAGATTTGCATCGTCGAGTGAATAATGTATGCTTTTACGCAAATGTCTCATGATATCACTCACAGCACTGACTATAGCCACAGAAGAATGGACTTTCGCGAGCCTAGCAAGGGCCGTGGCAACTTCTACAATATCGAGCTGCATCTCGGGTTGCTTGGTTACGTTTTTATGGTCGAGATGCTTCACTAATGTTGAGAGCAAAAAGTGCGTATTTTGTCCTGCATGAAAAAAAGAGAGCACAAATCGGCATAATTAGCCCGATCATGCAGTCACGGTGATGTAAATCGATAGCTAGGAATGGTTTAAATTCAAAATTTCCTCCTGAGCTTCTATCTTAGGTACAAAAACAATTCACGTTTATCTTTGATCCGAAAATGATAGATTTTTGAAATCTAAATGACTGAAATTACTATTCCGACTCAAGTGCAGAATGCCAAATTTTGCCAAAAATGAAACAGCAATCATAGGAGAATTTGCGGTAATTTTAAAGAAAAATCAAGCATTTTAGTAAATTAGGCTTTGAACCTGACCAGAATCGTCCATCAAAAGCTGCATCTCTTTGAGAACAGGAAAAGCAATCCCGTTTTTAGCTGTCCATAGATTCCCATTATCAAAATACCGAAACAAAGATTCCAATACACGGCGCATGGTGGTAGCTTCCTTTCCGAGATTGGCCATGTTTTGTAAACACACCCTCGACCAGAAGCACGGGTTCTTGGCCTCCTCTCTGTAATAAGTCAACCACGTTTTCTTTCACTTTATCAGATGACCGTAAAAAAACTAAAAGTGAGATGAAAAAATGAGCTCA